TACTGTGGAGTACTGTGGAGTACTGTAGAACTGTGGAGTACTGGAGTACTGAGGGGTACTGGAATACTGTGGAGTACTGTGGAGTACTGTAGAACTGTGGAGTACTGGAGTACTGAGGAGTACTGGAATACTGTGGAGTACTGTGGAGTACTGGAGTACTGTAGTACTGTAGTACTGAGGACAACACGCCAACATCAGAGTCAAGTGTATGTGATGACGACAGAACGTACGTATGTCAGAGAACAAACTGAACAAACACATGAAGAAGAGAAAACGAATCAGATCACACACTTGTCACAGAACATATAAAAATATATATAATTATATATTATATATTTATATATATATATATAATATAAAAATTGCCAAAGCCTCAATATAACGAGTTCTTCTCATCCTGTTCATCTGTTCCTGGTTTTCACATGATCCTGGTGACACATACATTAGTGTGGTTACATCAGTTGTTCTGTTCCTTCCTCACTGATCAGTCACACCTGCAGAGATCGATCTGTGACTTTGAAACAACACCCTCCACGCTGTCGCACCATCAAACACTTCCGGTATTTATCATAAACGTCTCCGAGCCAGGAAACCGTCAAACACCAGCAGCCGCTGTGTTTCCAGGAACTCTTCAGCTTCTCTGCCGGAGAGCCGTGATTGGCCGACAGACCCGGGAAGAGGAAGTGGGCTCACGTTTATTCACTGCAGCAGTTGCAACGTCCCTGCAGGCAAATACCTGCAGTGATACACACACACACACACACACACACACACACACACACACGTCCGGCGAGTGGAAACAGGAACACAGTATTTTTTTAAATTTGATTTCCTTTATGTAAATCCGCTCAGTGATAAGATCAGATCATAAACTTTCAACTGAAGCTTGAAGACAGTTTCTGGTCAGAGTTCAGTGAAGCTCTAATATTTCATCTATGTTGATGTTCGTACACAGAAGAAGTGACGGTCACACTTTGTTTGCTTTCACTCTTCCACCATCAACCAGTTTCACATTAGGATCAAATTGTCTCTATGAGTTGTTTTTAAAGGAAACATGTATTTCAGTGTTTCCTCTTCAGTTGTATTGGTTTGTATTCCTCTGTGCTGGTGACATCTAGTGGTCAGAGGCTTTATGTTTTCGTCTGTTCCTCTGTACAATTCTTGTGAACACGATATCTTAAGAAAACTTTAAGGCAAAGTTTTCAAATTTGGTATAAATGTTCACTTGAACTCACAAATGAACGGATTTGAATTGTTGTGGTGAAAGGTCAAAGGTGCTGCTGTGACCTCACTACAGATTTTCTTTCTTGTGAAAACGATATGGCAGCATCACCTCCAGGGAATTACATTAGGTCAAAACGTTCAGTGGCCCCTAAAGATGAACCGATAGGATTTCAAGATGAAGAGACGACCACAGTGCGTTTTCAACAGACCTTCAGTGGAAATGTCTCTAGTCCCTTCATCTGATTTGTGTGTGTGTCTCTGTGTGTGTGTGTGTCTGTGTGTGTGGGTGTGTGTGTGTGTGTCAGATCTGTAACTACCAGGGTCCAGCCCGGGTTGTGGTCCAGCTTGTGACGGTGCTGACCCCCCGTCCTCAGCTTCACGCTCACAGTCTGGTGGGAAAACAGTGCGACAAAGGCATCTGCATCACGGACCTGCAGCCCAAAGACTCCAGCATCAGGTCTGCAAACGCACACTCACAAGAATGCACACACACACAACAATACACAATAGTAATCGTGTTTTTGTTTGTCAGTTTCCCCAACCTGGGGATTCTCCATGTGACGAAGAAGAACGTGGCGAGGACTCTGGAGGAGAGGATGATCGAGGCGTTCAGGATGGGATACAACTGTGGCGTCTCCATCCACCCAGACATTGATGCCCTGCAGGGGGAGGTCCGACTCCCCCGAGACCTCCACGGTAAGCCCACTGTGCGTGATTCATCTTGTTTTCAAGTTGTTGTGATGGTTTCATGGGACTCTCTCTCTCTCTCTCTCTCTCTAGAGCACCAGCGCAGTGTGATCAGCAGTGCGGCGTCTCTTCAGGCTAAAGAGATGGACCTTAGTGTGGTGCGGCTCCTGTTCACAGCGTTCCTCCCTGACAGTGACGGAGGTTTCTCCAGACGACTCGAGCCCGTCGTGTCTGAACCGATCTACGACAGCAGTGAGTCCAAACGCACAGAACACTTTTATGGACGTTTTCCAAAGAGCTTGTCTTCAGTTACTGAAGTACAGAAATGTGGATCCGTTAATTAACGCAAGTGAATTATTTAAAAAATGAAATCATCCTCCTGAGGTCTGTGAGCTCAGCTGTGAGCCAGGCTACTGAGGTGAGCTCAGGTGGATTCATGGATGAAGTAGTTTTTTGCATCATCTGCATAAAAATGTAAAAACAAAGTAGTAAACTTCAGGAAAGACAAATGAGAAATCTGAACAGTCCCACCACCTTTCTTCAGGATGACGACGAGAGGGTGATTTTGGAGGTTGGACATTTATCTGTTCTTCATTGTTCGGCTGTGATCAGAGTGAAGTCATGTTCAGTTCTCCTGGTTTCATTTCCCTCCTGCTGCTCTGGTTTCTGTAAGCTGCAGCTTCCTGTCAGAAAAGTGAAACCTACTTCGTTCAGTTTATCCTCACGAAATGTTACACAGACGAGTCTTTGCAGGGTTCATTACAGACACAGCGTTAAAGTGACACATCTTCCTGATGAGTCGTCAGACTCGTCTACACGAGTAGAGCTGAACATGTAAAGTCTGTCCTGAGGCTGGCGCTGGAGGAAAGGTCCTTTTGAAGGGTTCATCCCCAGGAGAGCAGGAATGAGATCAGGACAAAGGAAGATGTCAGACAAATTCATACAATCGTCTGAGTGAGGGTCTGAAGTATCAAAGCAGAAAGTTATTTGGTCTTTATGTCTTCCTGACATGTCGGAGGACATGAGAACAGATTCAGTCTCTGTGAAGCTCGTGAACTCTGACCCCGTGACCTCTGACGGAGCTGGACAGCAGCTGTTTGACCTTTTCTTTCCTCCTTTCAGAGGCTCCGAACGCCTCCAACCTGAAGATCGTGAGGATGGATCGAACCGCCGGCTGCGTCACGGGGGGGGAGGAGGTTTATCTGCTTTGCGACAAAGTCCAGAAAGGTGGGTGAGGTGAGGTGAGGTGAGGTGAGGATAACGACTGTGACTATCTGCTAATAATTATAATTCTAATGATCTTCATCTCCAGTTCAGTCTGAAGCATCAGATTCTCCTCATGTAGAAAATGAGGACGTTGTGTTTGACAACAGCTCCACCTGCTGGAAGGTTTTTTTCCTGTGGTTTATCTGGATTATTTAAATCACGGGGATTCTGAAGTGTGTGTTTTCCTACAGATGATATCCAGGTGAGGTTCTATGAAGAAGACGACTCGGGGTTGACCTGGGAGGCTCTGGGAGATTTCTCACCGACAGACGTCCACAGACAGGTCAGTACTTTGTCATCAGGACACTGTCTTTCTGACAGTGACCGCTTGATCTTATTTTATTTAATAGTTGTAATTTATAAAATAGCTTCGTTCTTTTTGAACATCTTCAGCAGCTCCTTTTATTAAATGTGTCCTTCTTAAGCTCAAAAGTTCCCGTAAACATCCGTTGTGATTAACGGACACATTTCACGCTGATGCAGTTAATCTAGCAAACACAGTATCTGAGGTGTAGTATCATCAGAGGCAGCAGGAACAGAGTAACCATGGTGACCTGTTCCCCGCCGTCAGTTCGCCATCGTCTTCAAGACTCCGAAGTACCGAGACCAGAACCTGCAGAGGCCGACGTCTGTGTTCGTCCAGCTGAAGAGGAAATCCGACAACGAGAGCAGTGAACCCAAACCCTTCACCTACCACCCCCAGATCATCGGTAGGTCGCACAGGCCCCAGGTCAAATAAACACACTGACCTGAACTCACCAGGAATCACTGCTTCTCTTCATCAGAACAAAATATGCACATGGTGTAAAAGTGGAAAATCAATGAAGTCAAACTTTATTTGTTTTGCCCAGATTCATAAATCACAGTTTGCCTCATCAGAGCCTTGTTAGCGTTAGCATTACAACGCGTATCAGAGGATCAGCCTGGTGTAGCTCATCATCAGAACTTCACAAGCTAAGTTAGCTCAGGTAGCTACGTCAGAGCTGCTTCATCAAGGAAAATGTGTTGAGTCACATTTACACGATTGTTTTCATGGATGAAACTTGTGACTCTGTCATTTAAAGGAGCAGAGACCAGTTTTTTCAGGATTTTCTACTTTGACTGTTCGTCTTCCTACACATCATTTTTACCGGTGTGTGTTCAGACAAGGAGGAGGTGCAGAGGAAGAGGCAGAAGACGTTGCCCAACTTTCAGGACTTCAGCGGCCATGGAGGAGGAGGAGGTCTGTATAGAGGAGGAGGTCCAGCAGCAGGAGGAGGTCCTGGCTCTGCAGGAGGAGGAGGAGGAGGTAACGGCATCAACATTTCAGTGTCTGTAGGAGCTGACACAGCCTCAGTGTTTCTGTTGCACCAGACGTCCTCTTCTGTTGTGGTCTGAGTGTGTTTGATTTGTCCTCCAGGTTATTTCCAGGGTTTTACTACCTATAACTATGGAGGAGGAGGAGGAGGTGGAGGTGGTTTCTCCACAGGATACTCAGCTGCTCTGGGAGGAGGAGGAGGAGGCATCAAACACGGTGAGAATGTAACTGTCATCAGGGAGCGTGGTCACCCGAGGCTTAAGAGGACGTGATATATTGTTGTTAATCATAAATATGAATGATTTGAAAGACAGCTGAAGTGAACGTTGTGTTAAAGCGTCTCAGAGCGACACAGACGACAGCGATCTCGACGACGATGACTCAGGGGCCGAGGTGCGAGCTTCAGCCCAGACTGGAGGCACGGAGGTCGGGGAGAGGACTGAGGAGGGAGGGGTCAGTGTGGAGCCAGAACCAGACAGAGGTGAAGTCAACAGCCGACAGTTGCAGGCTCTCTTCCAGTTCTCTGTAACAGGTGACTCAGCTTACCTGCTGGCTCCACAGCGCCCCCTGATGACTGCACAGGATGAGGACGGAGACACGTCAGTACTAATTTTGTGCACTTGATCATTTTACAGCTCAGAATTGTCTTTTCTGACGTTAAAATCCTTACGTTGAGTCTTTGGCGTGTTCCTTCTTCTGTCGTCTCAGAGGACTCCATCTGGCGGTTCTCCACAGCCAGCAGGCGGCGCTGAAGAGTCTGACCCAGGTCGTTTCTGCTCTGCCCGGAGAGGAAGTGCTCAACATGAGGAACCACCTGTACCAGGTACTGCACAACCAGAACGTCACTTTGTGTTCTCCAACTGTTGTCATGACGATGGAGGTGACTTAATGTCAGCACTGAAGAGACTCACGTGACCTGTTGTTTGTCAAAGACATACCACTATATCATGTGCATGCACTTCCCCCTGGTGGTCAACTTGTGGCATAACACTTCATTCCTACCACACACACACACACACACACA